GTGAGTGTGTGTGTGTGTGTGTGTGTGAGAGTGTGTGTGTGTGTGTGTGTGTGTGTGTGTGTGTGTGTGTTTTTAGTGTGTGTGTGTAACAGGAAGTGTTTGGGTGGGAGGCTGAAGTGGATGTTAATCACCTTCACTGCTGCATCCTGCACTTTCCATTCTAAATGTGAACGGATGACAGCTGCTGAAATATTCCAGCCATCTATGAAACATCCGTACACACAAAACATGTTCCTTAAATTCAAGCAGTGTAAACAAGCACACCTACAGAACACACACACAAATTTGGAATGAATAAAATATTTGAATGTTTCTGAAAGTCTCTTCTGCTCACCAAGGCTGCGTTTATTTGATCAGAAATGCAGCAACAATTCTGAAATATTTTTATAATTTAAAATATCAGTTTTCTATGTGACTCTCTGTTAAACTGTAATGTATTTCTGTGATGCGCAGCTGTATTTTCAGCATCATTACTCCAGTCTTCAGTGTCACATGATCTTCAGAAATCATTCTAATATGCTGATTTGCTGCTCGAGAAACATTTCTGATTATTATCAATGTTGAAAACAGTTGTGCTGCACAATATTTTTGTGGAAACTGTGATGCTTTTTATTTTTCAGGATTCACAGATGAACAGAAAGTTCAGAAGAACAGAATTTATTTGAAATAGAAATGTACTGTAACATTATACATGTCTTTACTGACACATTTGATCAATTTAATGCATCCTTCATGAATAAAAGCATTAATGTCTTTAAAAAAAAATGCTCAAAACTTTTGAAAGGTAATAAAAATATGTATTTATATTATTTAAAAAGTGTATTTATTTATGTATTTGATTGATTGATTTATGAAGGAACCACTTTATTGTTACATCAGTTTGAAACAGTTCATAATAATTGATTAAAGATTACTCCAAAAATACATTAGCATATGAAATGACATACTCTTGAGAAAACAGCACATGTAAGATCTGTATAATTTGTGGACGTTCAGTAGCGGCACACAGCTGGTGATGTCACTTCCTGTCCCTGAGTGCAGTGGCGTGTGTGATTGACGAGTGTCTCTCTGTGTGTGTGTGTGTGTGTGTGTGTGTGTCTCAGGCCGTCTCACCCTCTGCTGGACCTGCGTCCCCCGCCGCCGCTCTCTCACTGCAGCTCAGTGTCCGACTGGCTCCGGTCCATCAAGATGGAGCGATACGAGGACAGCTTCCTGCAGGCCGGATTCACCTCCATCCAGCTCATCTCACACATCTCCACCGAGTGAGTCACGCCACAGTGTTGATAGTGGAATATTGACTAATTCATCAATTATCAAACTAATTCAATTTGCGGGGTTGTTAGCGTTAACTGAAATAAAATGAAATCTAAAAAAACAAAAGTATTTTATTTCAGCTGATTGCCAACGCAACATTTCTCATTTTCACTTAGTTTGACTTGTGTTAAAATAACTACAACTAAGTTATTAAAAAAACTATGTATATACACAACATAAAGTTAGCATTTTCCAAGATCTCCTACTGCACCTTTCACTGTGAAACATTAGCACCAAATAGAACAACAATTTAAACAAAATAATGCTCAAATGTCTCTTTTTTAAAAACCATGCCTAAATGAAGTAATGTTTTGTTGCTTTTAACTGTAGAATTGCAGTGTGTGTGTGTGAGTGAGTGTGCCTGAGCTTGTGTGTGTGAGTGCGTGAGCGAGTGATGATTCAAACAGACCACAAAGAATTTCTAAAAAAAATATATAACTCATTTCATAGGGCACTATTATTGTTCAAGTTAAAGTTTTATGAATACAGTTGATTAGGTGTGCTTTTTGATTATTAAAATGGAATTCAGAAAAAATGAAATAGAAAACACAGAATTTGGGAAAAAATAAAATAATTTCTGAAAACAATAAAATGGTTTTCAAAAGGCCCTATGAAATAAATGTAACATTTTTTTTTAAATTCTGTTTTTTCCATTTTTATTTTGCTGGATGACTTTTTTCCATTTTAATGGTAAAATAAACTTTAATAATCAAAAAGCATGACTGATTAATTTAAATCATGAAACATACAATTTAGCATGAGTTTATTAAAAGTTTAACAATGCTGCTTGTTAAAAGGTGAACAATTATCATCCAGTTACTATTGCTGCTGCTGTGATTGTGACAAATGATCTGGCTACACAATAGAGATAACAACAGAAATTAATGTGAATTTAATTTCTCACATAATTTATATGTTTTTAGTCCTGACAAGCTACAACAGATTGTTCTCTGTTTTTACATGAATCTTTAGTGCTTTTCATACTGTCGCTTTTCGGCACATTGCATGGCAGGGCTCGCGAAATCCGGCGCTGTTGTGTTTTCCAGTCGGGCTACCAAGATGTGTCTGAAATAGTGATATAAATCCCTTCCTTGATTTGCGTTGCTCATTCATAGTAGGGGTGAAACCATATGAGTTTAAACTTCTGATATACGGTTTTCTGAGCGCACACATCCGAAGCACACGCACAGAAAGCGGCTGTCACAGCATGTGAGTACTAAACTAAGTTCTCATTCACACACAAGTTTACGTTAAAAACACACACGAGTTACAAAAACAGTGGGTTATGTCTGTGAAGGTAAACAGCTGGGAAATAAATCGCATGTTTATTTTAGATCTAAACCGTGTTCTGTGCTCGTCTGTGCAGCCAAACACAGAACAGTTAGCGTGTTTTACTCAAACTTTCTCCATGGCTTTAGAGCTGCTACACCGTTGTCACTTGCGAAATCAAATGATGGCGCTGTGGGTGTAAACTTACAGATTAAGGGGCGGTAATATTATAATGAGATCCCTTTGCCACGTCACCAAGGGAGCGAAATCAGACGTGCTCGTTTTCTCAGACGCTTGCAGAAAAAGGTTTACCAAAACAAAGTTACTGGGTTCATCTTTTTCACGTTTCCTTGGTTGGTAGATGCACCGGAGACCTGATTATAGCACTTAAAACCTGGAAAAGTCCGATTTTCACGATATGTCACCTTTAAATAATGTTATTTAAATAATAAAGAACCTTTTTTTTTTTTTGCTCATCCGAAAAATGTTACAATCTGTGACTCAGAATCTGTAATATGATCCGAGTGATCCGTTGACTCTCTTGTGTTATTTGAAGAAAAAGTACAATCACTGAAGTTTTCTTGATCATTCTGATTTGTCCGCAGTGAAGTTCAGCCAATGTCTTTTTTTAATTCGGGCTAGTTAAATTAATTTTGGGACACCACAATCTGAAGAATACCTGCCGAAGGAATTTTGATGGAATAAATGATGCGAGCCCTGCATGGAAACCAATGTGGGTTCATTTGACCAACAAACACAACGGTTGTGCCCAGTTTTTAAACAGAACGAGAGGATTTTAAGTTCAGGGGTCTGTCGCGATCGCTCTCCTTCTGTATTTACAGCAGCACACAGAAGCGGATTCAGTGACGTCAGTGTGAACTGGAAACGCTCCGGTTACTGACGTAACCTCGGTTCCGAGCGTTGTGTATGGGGAAACTCCTGTTTACACTGATACTGAAGCCTGATTTGTTCACATTTGTGTAGCTGCACAAACCAATGGCGCTCTAGCCCGCCAGAATGGGCGAAGCCGACCCCTATATAAGCGCCATTTCATCAGAATCATTCGACTGAAGCGACAGTCACCGATTCGCGTGCAGCTTGTAGCACGGCAAGTGACACAACGCTCGTTCCCTTATCTCAGGGAACGTCTAGGTTACGTATGTAACCCTCGTTCCCAGAATGAGGGAATGGAGATGTTACGTCAGAACAGACTGACGAATGGGATCTTGCCCGAGAGCCCAATCACCTTCGGGTGGTAACAGAACGAGCCAATGGTACGTTGAGTACCTTGGTCTGCGGAATTTGCATCGCGAGCTCCGCCCCGCTGTGTGGGTATATAAGGAGCAGCACAAGCAACTCGCATTCAAGTCTTCGCTGAGGAGCCGAGCCATGTGACCCAGCCGTTCAGCGGAACAGCAATTGTGGCAAAGGGATGTAACATCTCCGTTCCCTCCTTCAGGGAACGAGGGTTACATACGTAACCTAGACGTTCCCTTTCAGTCGGTCACGTTCAACGTTACGTCAGAACAAACTGACGAATGGGGTCCCTTCCAAAACGCCACAGTGGCTGTCTTCCAGTGACCTGCGTAAGTGATAGCACCCTGTCGTGAGGCCACCACGAGCGAAGGGCTATACTTAACACAGAATGCACTGGGTAGCATATTCCAGCTGGAAGAATGCTAACAGGCTGCCTGCTCGTAGGAGGTCTTACAAAGCACATATCAACCAGCGTAGCGGTGATACATATGAATCTCTGAGGTACCCAGCCCGCAGGGTGGATGTGTTTCAACGTCAGAGATGGCAAGGGTGGCTTGCCAAGGGAAAGACACATGCTGCCGAGAGGGACTTACTGTGGAAATACACACGTGGGATTGCCCAAGAGGGGAATCACAACACATGGAGGCACATAGTCTAACACAGGGGCTGACCGACAGGGCACGCACGCAAGTGCTCGACACCAACAGTGCTGGAGGAACCCAGGGTTCTGAACTGTGGAACTCACCTGAGGAGAATAGCGCACGCATCCAGTCCGTGGAGTGGA